GAGTAATACGTGTAGTTTTAGGATCCAAGAAAGAAAACAAAACTAAACCTTAAAATTGGAATTTAAACCCAATCAGTTACTAATTTAATGATTTCAGGCAAATTGCATCATCTCTTTGAGTTTATTTTCTCATATCTACAGTGTGATAAAAGAATCTGATTTTGCCTTTGCTACAGGAATAGTTGAAGAGTTCTGTGGGTTAATTTCTTTCTCCGAGAGAACTTTTTAAATTGAGAAGCAATAAACAATATCTTACTTTGTGTCCGCTTAAAGTTTAATCTTTTCATGATGAAATTATTTTGTTTTGAATATTTTTCCTGTTGATGCATTTTACTCAGACTTCTTCACCACTCGCTAGTAATAGAAGATATGCTGGAAACAAGCAAAATATTTTTGTTCTTGAGGTAATATGGACTTTGAAACAATTATGTAGGACCCATTATGTTCTAAGTGGACTAAAGTGATAGACTTGGCAGGCTGAGTTCTGTTTCTTCAGATTTACATAGTTAAACAGGTTCCCACCAGGCAGCAACATGTACTCAAATATTGAAACTAAGCTGGCATCTTCTCAAGAAACTCAACAGGCTAAAAATATTTATATACTATATGTACACTAAAGCTCTATAAGTGAACTACGAAAAAAAAGTCCCATTTATAAATAGACCATTATTACTTTGAAAAACATCTTTTGTTCTCCATTTGCTTGGGTGACCTAGTGGTAAGAAACTGTGGTACAATCGTGAAGGCAAGTGGTGAAAATTTACCAGCTACTCCACGGGAGGCTGGGCAGACTCTTCCTGTGCATTTAACTGCCTCTGAGAAGCTGGTGGAGGGCCAGGTATGGCTTGATTCTACCTTGACAGCACACAACAACAACAACAACAAACTATGTATTATACTATTCTTTTGAATAGTTCACTCATAGCTCCTCTTTCTTGGTGATAGTATGTTCTTCTCTCTATTTATCTCTTTATCACTTGAGAAATAAAAGGTATGCAGACCACATATTGTTTGTCACATTCATTCTGCCTCATAGCTCATTTAAAAAGAGAACATTTATAACTACAATAACAATCAACTTTCTGAGTTTTAGTTTCAGGACAACAGAGAAAAAACCTCTATGGAATAATTAAAGGGAACTATTATTTCTTCAAAAAGAGCTCTGGTGGTGTACCACATTATGTGTTGCACTGATAATTGATAGACCAGAGGTTTGAATCGAACTAGTGCTTTGCTGGAGAAAGATGGATCGTCTCAGAAATCCAACGGAGGGTCACTGAGCTGGAATGGATACAAAAGGTAGTGAGTCTTAAAAATATATTTGTTTAAGATTATCTATAAAGTAAGATATATTTTAAGGTATGGAGTCACCAAGGAATTCACAGTTCAGCGTAGCTCTAAATAGGAAGCATGTGAAATCCCATGACAAGATTGAACAGTAGTCAGTTATCTGGATGGCCAACAAATTGGTAATCCATCTGTTCAGGTGGTAAACTTTTATTTAGTCAACCACCCTACATTTTGGCAAAGGACTCTGTTAGTCATTCTACTTTAGGCATTCATTTTCATTGCCAGTGGGTCAGAACTGACTCCTACCTGACCCTCCAGCACTTCTCAGAGACTATAAATTGCCTAAGAAGAGATTTCTTTCTTTCTCCTGTGGTAAGGCTGACACACACCAACTCCAAGATCAGCAATGATTTGGATTAGCAAAACAACTCGGTATGGATTATATTATGAGCGCTCCCAACAGCATGGACAAACTTCCATTTTCAGTAGAAAAGTAGAAACACCTAGATGTGTTCTTGATGAGTTCACCAGGTTATCCAATTTATCAATTTACCCTAAAGCAAACAATCCTGACCCCTCCCTACAACTCCAAAAAGCAGAAGCCACTTTGAAGAGCAAGGTGCCTCTGACCCCAGCCATGGTATTTATGTTTGCTTCATATGCATGTGGGCACTGGACATAAATAGAAAGATCAAAGAAGAATTTCTGTCTTTGAATGTGATGTTAGCAAAGAATATTGAGCACACCATGGACTGCCAAAATAACAAATAAATGTGCTGTTAAAAGTAAGGAGGGTGAGATCTGTTGCCAGGAGGAACTGGTTACTGAAGCAATGCCTCATGTTGGTAGAAGGTCACTAAAAAAGAGGAAGATCCTCAAGGAGATAGTTTGACACAGTGGTTACAACACTGGGCCTAAGCATGCCAATGATTATGATGATGTTGCACACTCTGTTTCCTCCTGTTGTGCTTAGGAATGTATGAGTCAGAATCAACTCAACAGCACCAGACAACAATGTTATTGTTAGGTGTTTTTGCAGACTGAGGGTAAAGTATTTTTATAATTATTAATAATGAGATAGACATCCAGGAATGAAATAAAACAGCATAAAAGACAGGGGGCCAGCAGTTCCAACCACTGAAGGCGGGGATTCCAGCTTCCATGTATCTTTAGTAAAAATTATCAGGAGGTAAATCACAAAGAAAATTCAATGGAAATGAAGCCAAGCACTTCCTATTGAAAACATTCAGCTTGACTCAGGAGGGAGGGGTCAGCAAATACAATGCAAAAATCCAGTAAACCCTTAAGGATTGCCTTAGGGCCTCAGGGTGAACTCCAGCTTGTACCACACTTCCCCCATATCCTGAAATAACATTCAGTTTATTACACATATTTAGTATGAAATTTGGCTTCCCATAAGGTGTCATCAGTTTGACAACTCATTGTGACTCTGTGTACAATGGGTCTGAACCTCTCCCTATGCTGTGCCATCTTCATCTCTTCCATACACGAGCCCATTGTTACAGTCACTGTGTCAATCTCTCTCAGTGAAGGTCTGACCCTCCCTTACTGACCATCCATGTTTCTAAGCATGATGTCCTTTTCCAAGGACTGACCCATCCTAACAATGTGCCCAACGTGTATGTGAAATGAAAACTTCTTGACCCTTGCCTCTTTGGAGCATCCTGGTTGCACCTTCTCCAAGACATGTTTATTTGACAGTCCAATGAATATTCTGTATTCTTCTCATTATCACAAATCAAAAGTATTGATTCTTCTGTCATCCTTAGTCACTGTCCAAACTTCAGATGCATAGAAAGTATTTAAAAAAAAAACATGACTTGAATCAGGAAATCCCTGACAGCAGATTTTCCCAGTATAATAGTCTTTTGAGATTGGCACAAGGTAGATCAGGGTTTATGGCTATTGTACACAGGGTCACTATGAGTCTCAGATGACTAGAAGGCACACAAGAAGTAAGATGAAATAACTGACAGTTAATCTATCATGATGTTACATATTTGTCCAGTGGTGAGCAATTTTGTCATCTTGATGTTGAGATGTAATCCTTATTGAAGATTGTTGTTTTTGATCTTTTGCAGTAAATGTTTCAAGGCCTCCTCACTTTCAGCAAGCAAAGCTGTATAACACAGCTTATTAGAGTCTTTCTAAGATCCTGATACCATATTCTTCTTCATAAAGTCCAGATTCTTGAATGGTTTGCTCAGCATACAAATAGAATAAGTATGGGGGAAGCTTAAAGCCCTGACTTATCCCTTTCTTGATTTTAAGCCAAACAGTATTCCCTTACTTATTATTTTCAGAGAACTCAGTGTAGGTTTCTCAGGACCACAGTTATGCACTCTGGGATTCCCGTTTTTTCCACAGTTAGCTGAAATTTGTTATGAATTACACAGTCAAGTGCTTTTACACAGTTATTGTGTTCAGTCAAGACCCATCCGACATCAGGAATAATATTCCTGGTATCATGTGGTATCTTCTAAATCTAATATGAATTTCAGGCAATTCTCTGTCATTGTATTGTTCTAACCATTTTCTATCTCTAGTTGGATTTTACTTGTATGCGACACTAATGAGATTGTTTTAGAATTTCCAGATTCTGTTGGATCACTTTTTTGGGGGATTAGAAACAAATATGGATCTCTTCCAGTGCGTTGGCCAGGTAGCTGTACTTCAACTTTTCTGGGACAGCCTGGTGAGCACTGGTCTAGGACCTTGTCTGTTAGTTGAAATACGCCAGTTGGTATTCCATTAACTCCTAAGGCCTTATGTTTTGCTAGTAGTAGTAATGTAAAATGTAGTTTCTAAAATATAGTTTAGACTTCTTTCTTCATGATCATTCTTGATCTTTCGATACTTTCTGAAATTATTCTGTGCCTGCTAACTCTTTTGGTACAATGACTGTGTTCCTTCTATCTTCTTTTTGATGCTTCCTCGATTATTCAGGATTTTTCCCATGATATCCTTCAGAATTGCAACTCAAGACTTGATTTTGGTGGTGGTGGCTTTTCCCCTGAATTCTTTCAGCTAGAGAAATGCCAAGGGGGTTCTTGTTGTTTTGCTTTCCACCTCAAGCTCTTTCATTATACTTTTGTTCTCCTGAGTGGCCCTTTGACATCTTTGTTCTCCTGTTTTACTTCAGCAATTATTCTTGTTTTCGTTTCTGGAGGTTCTGTTGTCATTATATGAGTCTCTTCTGATGCATTCATTTGTTTGTTAGTTTGTAATAATCTTTTGCTTTTTCAATGGATATTATCTTTTCTTTCTGGATCATATCTTTGATGCTATTCTTCATTGATGATAGCTAACAACAATAGCAAGAAAATAAACCAAACTACCAATTTAATCCTGATGTCAATGTTTTTAGAATTGACCTTCTCTTAAAAGAATAACATCTCTTAGAAGATTGACATTCTCCTAAGAAGCAGAGAGTGGGGTAAACAGCTGTTTAGCCAAGAACTGTTATCAAGTTCATCTGCATTCAATATGTCAAAAATGTTGCACACCTGCAAAACAACGCGTTTGTTTTGAGACTGCCTCAGCTGACAAGGGGAGGGAGAGTGTTGCGCGATGACGTCATGGCGCACCGGGCGTCAGCAGCTCGTTTCCCTCCCACCCCGCCCCCTGCAAGGCTAGTCGCCAGAGGCCGCTCTAGGGCCGGGTCTCCTTGGCAACCGCTGGCTCCGCCCCTCCGCCCCTTTAACCTTTAGGGTGTGCGGACGCAGGAGTCCCTCGCCTTCTCTCCCCTTCCCCCTCCCCTTTCCCCACCCCTTTGCTTTAGGCTGACCCAGCCGGAAGCGAAGATGGCGGCGGCGGCGGAGGCAGCGGCTGGCGCTGCTTCCGTGGAGTTGGTGATCGGCTGGTGCATTTTCGGGCTCTTACTCCTGGTAGGGGAGGCGCTTGGCGTTTTTCCAGGGTTTGGACTGGTGGGAGGGAGGGAGGGGCCGGCTCTGCCGCCGTCCTCTCCTGGCCCGGGAGACCCTCTTCGCCCCGCCCCTCTTTTTGCTGGAACAGTTGGGGCTCCTGTGCTCCAGGAGGGGGGTGGGTGGAGCACTGGTTTGGTTCGACTTGTGGTTTCCGTTTCCTGATGACATCTAGCACTGCAGGTTTAGTTTCTCTAGTGCCATGTCCTCATCGCTGACTTGGACGCTGGCGGCGGTGGGGACTGGGGAAAGGGGAGATCACTGGGGGTGAACTGGGTGTGGCCTCCACTTGGGCACCCGGTTACACTGGGGCCCTGGCATGGGGCGGAGACCCTAGATCTTTGCGCGCTCAGTGAGAGCTGGTGATGGTGATCTATCAAGGGATCGCTGGCTCTCCATATGTTTGTTTTGGTATTCTCTAGGATGGGGCTGGGTTCAGATCCCTTCTTCATAGGGTGGCCCTGAGCATTAGTCGACTCCAGGACACTTAACTAGACCTGTGGTCAGTCATTCTTCAGCCTTCGCTGCCCATTGTGCGGTTCTGCCTTTGTTGACGTGAGCTATTCGTTCTGACTTCTATATTTCACCTACCTTCCATCCTTTTATGATAGTCATAGAGACCTGTGTAGTAGATATGAGCTCCAGTCCAGAGAAGACACATCAGGATATACTACCAAATAACACATAGGGATATACTACCAAATAATATCTCAGCCATCTTTCTCAACCATCTTATTGCCAGGTAAAACTAAGCGCCTGCCAAGTGGATTCAGACTCACGGTATTGACAGGTGCCAAGTAGTCAACTACAGCTCATAGTGACCCTGTGAATAATGCATCTGAACCTTGCCTTGTTCGGGCCATCTTCATCTCTGATATACTCGAGCCCGTGTTTTATACTCACTGTGCCAATCCATATGGCTGATGTTCTTCTTCTCCCTTCACTGACTCACAGAGACCCTACAAAGACTTTATATTTGTTTATATTTATATATCTATATATTTATCTTTATATGAGGAGATTCCCGACTTTTCTTCAAGGGACTTAAATTGTAGACATTTTGCCAACACTTAAGGCACTCTGCACCAGGGATCCTTTATTTTCTGATGTTGTTGTTGTTGTTGTTATGTGCTGTCAGGTCGCTTGCAACTCACAGCGACCCTATGTACAATAGCCCTAAACTCTGCTTTGTCCTGTGCCAGTCGCACTGTCTCTGACACACTCATCCCGATTACCCCGGTCACTGAATCAATCCACATCCTAGAGGGCCTTCCCCTCCTGCGCTGTCCCTCCATCCTCCCAAGCATGAGGCCCCTCTCCAAGGACCGGTCTCTCCTTACAACATGTCCAAAGTATATTACATGAAGCCTCAGAATCCTTGCCTCCAAGGAGCAGCCTGCTTTAACCCTCTCCAGGATGAATTTCTTTTCCTAGCAGTCCATGGTACCCTCAACACTCTTCTCCAGCACCACAGCTCAAAGGCATCAATTCTTCTATCATTGTCCAACTCTCTGATGCATAACAAGTGATTGCAAAGACCATGGCCTGTATCAGACGCATCTTAGTCTCCAGAGAGACACCATTCCTCTTCAGTACTTTGGAGAGGTCCCTAACAACAGACTTTCCCATCGCAATATGTCTTTTAATTTCCTGGCTACTGGTGCCAAGAGTGCTGACTGTGCAGCCAAGCAAACTGAAGCTGTGAACAGTCTCAGTCTCTTCACCATCCATCCTGATGCTGCCAATTGTCCCAGTAGTGAGAATCTTTGTCGTCTTGACATTGAGCCTCAATCCATATTGAAAGCTGCAGTCCTTGACCCTCTGCAGCAAGCGCTTCATATCTTCCTCAGTTTCAGCAAGCAGATTTGTGTCATCTGCATAATGCAGATTGTTGATAGATCTTCCACCAATCTTGACTCCACATTTCTCCTCATAGAGCCCAGCCTCCCGGATAATCTGTTCTGCATACAGGTTGAAAAGGTATGGAGACAGGACACATCCTTGGTGTATGCCCTTCCCAATTTTGAACCGTGCAGTGTTTCCTTGCTCTGTTCTGAAGACTGCTCCTTGGTCCAAGTATAGGTTTCGTGTGTTCTGGGATTCCCATTCTTCTCAGAGTCTGCCACAGCTTGTTATGGTCCACACAGTCAAACGCCTTTGCATAGTTAATGAAACACAGATAGACATTCCTCTGATATTCCCTGCTTTCATCTAAGATCCATCTAACATAAGCTACAATATCTCTGATTTTCTGATAGTGATTAAAACCAAAGACAGAAAAAAAGAACAACATATGGGTTGTCCAGAGTGTCCTGGTTATTATTTTCCAGTATTAAAACATTATTTTGGAAGTTCAGGTTGTTTCTCATGGTTCTGTCATCATTCTCTTTCTTTATTGACTTCCTCCAGGCTTGCTGGTTTTGCGTCCAGTACTTTAACTGCAGAACTTGATTTATTTTTCTACTCTATTTGCCAGATTCCATCAAAATACCCAGACCAGTGTTATTATTAGCATGTTCTGTTAATGTGTTTTTGTAGCAGAGATCTTATTAATGGGGGTGGGGGTGGGGGTGGGAATTGTGTTAAAATTTTAAAAGAGACCTATATTGTGTATCTTAACTTCAATCGGAAATAATTCTACTGTGTACTGAAACATGCCTTACTTTTCTTAATGTGGTAGTGTTGGTTGCTGTTGAGTTAAATACGACTCGTAGCAACCCTTTGACCATCAAACAACCCTGTCCTGTCCTGTCCTGTGTAGGAGATAGAAAATCTTGACTATCCTTCCAGCTTCATTTTTGGGCAAGTTAATTTTATCAGATTCAGGTGGTTTAGAAGAAAACAAAAAAGGAAGTAACTAGTGTCCAAATCAAATATGAATATTTTGCCATGTAAAGTGCAACAGTTGTGCTGAAAATTGTCTTTGTTCTACTCACTGCCATAGAGTGGACTCATACTCTGAGCAATCCACTGAATTTCCAAGACTCTACATCTTTTTTTTTTTTTTTTAATTTTTGTGTGAGTGTACCGTCAAATCAGATCTGACTGGTACAGGAGGAAATTGTCCCTCCTTCCCCGGCAGAGCATCTGGTGAATTTGAACCATGCGCCTCTCGAGTTGTAGTTGCAGGTCAAGACTCTACATCTTAATGGGAGGAGACAGCTTATCTTTCGCTTAAGGAGCCAGTGGTAGATTTGAACCACCCAAAAAGGCTCAGTCTTTTGGTATCCAGTGCATCATGATGCAGACATGGCCTTTGAGAGGGTCAGAAAATAGATGAGGACTCTCTGGATAGTGCACTTGCTTACCTTGCTTTGTTAGTAACTGAAAAGTTGAATGTCTGAGTTCACTCAGATGTACTGCAGGGGGAAAAAAAGCCTATTGATTTACTTCTGAAAAATTAGCCATGACACACATGGAGTGTCTCCATGAATCATAATTAACCCAGTGGCCACTGTTTTGGCTGTGATGTTTTCGTCTTGAGTAATGATAAGGTGGCAGCAGTTTTAGACAGCTATGCATCATAAATGCAGACGTAAGCACAGTAAGCAAGGCAAATAACATTTTATTATAATTGTGATAATAACTCTTTAGTTTGCAAATTTCACAAAAGTGTTCCAGGAATTGTCAGGAAGCAGGGAACTCTCCACATAGCTGTTGTCAATCATTACTAAAGATCACTCTAATTTGTAATCTTGAGCAAACACTAGTAGACTGTTCTACTGCTTAAGGAATGGTTAGAATTGGTCCCTCTAAGCTTGTGGCCTAATTATGTTTGCATCATTAAATCTAAATGCTTCTATCTAGACACCAAGGTCCCCAATTTCACTTACCCTACCTGTTAAATTACATTTCATATTAACTTGACAAGAAAGTCTCAGTTGATAAAAAGCGAGTTTACTCATCTCAACGTTTGGGCTCCAGACATAAATCAGAATCTATAATTTACTAAGATCCAATGCCGTATATATAGTCACTAGTTTAGTGAACAGCCACTTATTCTCATACAAACCTTGATTGAAATCACTGAGGGAGTTTTTAAAAATCTTAGGGCACAAACTTAAATTGCAGTCTCTTGGGAAATTAAGGGACTGCTCTTAAATGCTTCCTTATAGGTGTTTAAAAAAGTTACATTTCCAGCCATTGCAGTACATTGAGCTCCATAGAGACAGTGCCGGGCCAGGCAGAGCCGGACAGCACCGGGCAACTCTGTGCCTCGCGGAGGAGAAATAACTAACCATGGGCAAAGGAGATCCTGAGAAGCCGAGAGGCAAAATGTTATCGTATGTATTTTTCGTTCAGACCTGCCGAGAGAAGCACAAGAAGAAGCACCCAGATGCTTCTGTCAACTTCTCAGAATTTTCTAAGAAGTGTTCAGAGAGGTGGAAGACCATATCTGCTAAAGAGAAAGGTAAATTTGAAGACATGGCAAAGGTGGACAAGGACCGTTATGAGAGAGAGATGAAAACCTATATCCCTCCTAAGGGTGAAACAAAAAAGTTAAAAGATCCCAATGAGCCCAAGAGTCCTCCTTTAGCTTTTTTCTTATTTTGTTCTGAGTATCTCCCCAAAATCAAAGGCGAGCACCCTGGCCTTTCCATTGGTGATGTTGCGAAAAAGCTGGGAGAGATGTGGAGTAATACTGCTGCCGATGACAAGCAGCCTTATGAAAAGAAGGCTGCTAAGCTGAAGGAGAAATACGAAAAGCATATTGCTGCATGCAGGGCTATAGGCAAACCTGATGCTGCTGCCAAAAAGGGAGTTGTCAAGGCAGAGAAAAACAAGAAGAAGGAAGAGAGAAAGATGAAGAAGATGAGGAGGAAGAGGAAGGTGAAGAAGATGAGGATGATGATGAAGATGAATAAGTTGGTTGTAGCACAGTTTTTTTTCTTGTCTATAAAGCATTTAACCCCCCTGTACACAACTCACTCCTTTTAAAGAAAAAAAGAAAATTGACATGTAAGGCTGTGTAAGATTTGTTTTTAAACTGTACAGTATATTTTTTGTGTAGTTAGCACACTACCGAATGTGTCTTTAGATAGCCCTGTCCTGGTGTTATTTTCAGTAGCCACTAACCTTGCCTGGTACAGTATGGGGGTTGTAAATTGGCATGGAAATTTAAAGCAGATTCTTGTGGGTGCACAGCACAAATTAGTTATGTATGGGGATGGTAGGTTTTGGGGTGTTTTTTCATCTTCAGTTGTCTGATGCAGCTTATAAAAAATAATTGTTGTTCCGTTAAGTGAATACCACTCTGTAATTGCAGAAAAAGGAAGAAAAAAAAAACGTTGCAGCTGTTTTATTGACATTCTGAATGCTTCTAAGTAAATACAATTTTTTTTATTAGAAAAAAAGTTACATTATTAGTTTGCTTCTTAAAATACTGTTAAGATGTTATTACATTATGCTTAGTAACAGTTGCTACTGCTTGGCTAAAGTTAGCGTAATGAGGCACTGTTCTAAACTCTAACCTTTTATGAGAAAAATGGTTTTGAAAATTTCTACTTAATAGAAGAAAACACTTTGTTTTTTTTAATTAGCCATTGAGAGGTATAACCCATAGAAACAGTAAGCACTCTGAGTTTCTCAGGTTTAAAACTTTAAGGGGAACTGGGGACCAAAATATTTGAGTAGCTCTAATTTACTTTTTGTGCTTAGTTTGGCCTTTGCCTGCTTGTCTTCCTGGTGTTGGTAAACTCCTCCCTCTGTCATTACACTTAATTAACACTTTGTACTTTATAAAATTAAATCATCTTTCTTTCTTGAGAACCAACAACAACAACAAAATTATTAACCATTTTGTGTTAGGTACTGCGAGGGAGACACAGATTAAGCTCACCTACCATTGATTTCAAAGTGTAATTGAAAAATGACAGAAGTACTCACTGATTAATTAATATAACAACAAATAAGTTAAAATGTGTAGAAGATGCCTATATCTCATGAAATAATAATAATAATAATA